CAAAATTTCACGAGAATCGGTCAAGTCGTTTCGGAAGAGTATGGGAACGAAAATTGTGACACAAGTATTTTATATATAAGAAAACTAGCTGTCGCCCGCGATTTTGCACGCGCAGATAAAAAAAAAGTAGCCTATGTGTTCTTTCAGACTATGTACTATATGTATGCCAAATTTCATCGAGATCCGTTCAGCTGTTCTGGAGATGCTTTCAAACATCCATCCATTCATCAATCTATCCATCAAAACATTCGCATTTATAATATTAGTAAGATATATATTTTTTTAATTCCGTGCGGTCAAAGTTGCGGGCGACAGTTTTTTAAGAATTGAGACTGATTCATAGAATTTTAACTTATAATATAAACTAGCTGTCGTCTGCGACTCCGTCCATGCGGGATTAAAAAAACAACTAAATTATTAGTATGTGTGTGTGTCAATCCATCCAAACATTCGAATTTCTAATATTTATAAGATTTTATTTTCTTATTGTACTTCATTAACTTTAGATTACAATATGTTATTATAGTTTATACAACATATTGAATAGTAAAATCCCACGCGCATCGCTTGCCCGCACAATGAAGGACTTAATGCATTAGCTAAATTGATTAATACGTGGGATCTAATTGCTCGTAGTGCTTTCAAGATAACCATATAACAGGGACATAATGTACGATGCTCAGAGATTATCTAAATTAATTGGATGCTTAGCATATACAGCATGTCCCAAAATTCAACGATAAGCTGGTACTGGTATATACCAGGTCGATAACTACACGGAAAAAATACAAAAAATCCAACTTTTGTTCAAAAGACATTATTTTCAATTTTCTCATGATTGATTGATCATATGACCCTGCACCATATGATTAGACACTATGACTACAAATTTGTACATATTCCTGCAATGTTTTTTGTATTACCTACCAAAGTAACATACATATCGACCTGGCTATACACCGGTACCGGCTTACCGTTGAATTTTGGGACACGTTGTATAAAAGATTGGGAAGTCCACTATCAATCCCGTCTATATTATCTTTAAAGTGCCTAGTCTTATATATTGAGGTAGAAATTCCCAAATTAGTAGCTACCCCTGTGGGTTCGTCGTCAGTTTACATACATCCACACTGATAGATTCGGAACCCACCCTATTTTTTGGGTAAAGGATCCAAATTCATGGCGACCTACTAGACACTTGGCTATGTATGGACATTGTAAAGTATGTTTCATTAATTTATACAGAAATATTGCGTTAATTAATACTAGCTGTTGCTTACGATTTCATCCGCGGGATTAAAATAATATTTAATTAGTAGCCTAACTGTTTTTCCAGAATATGTTCTACATGTATGCCACCGAGATTCGTTAAGCCGTTCTGGATGTACCTTCTAACAAACATACACCTATCTAAACTTTGAAAAAAACTTAAACAAATATTAAAAAAAATGTGGAAATAACTACATTTATAGAAATATTTAGTATTTGTCACGGAAGGCATATTTAATTTACATTACAAAATAGAAAGTTAATTGAAATGCAGGTAGGCGAATGCAAAACGTATATTCTCATGCAAATGCGTCCCCGTGTCGAGCGTATATCATATCATGTTGTAAAATTGTTAGTCGCTGCGAGATCACACGTAAATTCAGTCCAACGCGTGAGATGAATATTAAAAGAACACAAATAAAGCGAAATTTGTATGTTAGCGAACTGTTCATACTTGAAAAGATAATTTCAATTTTGAAATGTGCAATTTGGACTTTGTAAGAAATATAACAGTAGACTTTATTATATCGGGGTCCTATTATGTTAGGTATTTTAGATCTGTAATAGATGCTTAAACTTTCTAACTTTATCTTCTGAATAATCGTAAAATTAATTTAAAAAATTAAAGTGATTCAATAGCAAAAATCATTCTTATTTTATGTCCAAAAACTTACAATAATATTTAGGCAACGCAAAAAACATTAGCATAATAAAAAAATAAACTTTGCTATCTCAATAAATAATATTCAATTTAAGTGTATATAAATATTTTGATACAAATGTAATAAACTTTTGTTCAAAATTGTACGTTTAAATTATTTAAATGGGAAGTTATTTAAAAATGTACGGTACTTTTCACAATCGAAAGAGTGTAGAGAAACAAAACGATGGAATAAATAGAGTAAATTCATTCTATATTGTTCGCACGCCCATTGTTTTGTGAAATAAAATGTACATTTAAAATGAACTATTGTTTAGGAGTTGCATCAGAAATGCTTTTTCAATCGATCTTCTAGAATTTCAAAGCGATCAAATATTTTATTAAGAATAAAATTTTTCCATTGGTTTTGAAATTAAGTTTTTATTTCGTTATTATTTAAATTAATGCATTGCAAAAAAACATGTTTTTTTATATCAGAAGGTGGCAAACGAGCGAGCGGCCACCTGAAATCGCCGAAACAGCTAAGCGACCGCTGCCCATAGACATACGCAACCGCATAAATGTACATTTGTAAATCGGAAATCGAAAACCACATTTGTATATGGCGTGATCCGAACCCCTGCAGATTGAAAGTCAAGTGCTGGACCCCCTAGCCACCGACGCTCTATATAGAAATATATGTATGTATATGTAATAATGATATATAAATACATAAATAAATAAGTACACCACATTGTTTTATAAAATTAGGTGTCATCCACAACTCTGTCCTCGTGGAAATAAAAAAATTTGCTAGTTAATGTTCTTCCAGACTATGCTCTACATATATCCTAATTTAGCGATTTCCATTGATTCGTTCTGGAATGTAAAACGAATTAAGTAAATCTACATTTCACCTGCTTAAGGCTATAAGGGAAATAAATGGTTAATGCAAGTCGTTGGGAACGGCACAATTTATACCTCCCCAGTCCGAACATGCGCCGCTCTTGATAAATAGCTACCTCGTAAGATTTGTTGCTTGTAATCTAAATCTTCCTCGACATAGCATTCGTTATTTTAGATAGTTAACATTATAATATACGATAGCGCGCTTTCATTTGTTCAGAATATAAGTAATATAAAAAATTCGAAAGTTTGGACGTATATATTGGATAAACGGCTAAAACACGTATGTTTGTCAGGTGGTAGCGCCGGACGAATATAAGTTTATGATGATGTCTGACGAAAGTTTGAATAGTATAGATATATGTTTGTTAAAAGGTATCTCCAAAACGTTGAAAACGTAGTCTGGAACAACAGTCTACACACAGGCTGCTAATTAAGTTTTTTTTTCATTCCGCGCGGAGGAAGTCGCGGGCGACAGCTAAAAAGGTCGCATATAAACTACAAATGTTAAATGTAAACTGTATAAAGTATTATATTTTTAGGGTTTTTAAAAAACGAGAACTTTTTCATGAATAAAACAGTTGACTTTTAGAAGTACATTATGGTTGTGAAATTGACGAATATAATGATATGGGTTTGTTTATTATTGCAAAATTATTGGTATGTTAATTAACTTCCGTATTTTGTAAGGATCAATAAAAATACGTTTACAAGAATCCTGTAACGTATCAATTTCTACCGTTTATTGGAAACCGCTAGCTTGCAAACATAAACCAATTGAGTTTGTTCCACAATGAAATTACTATTATACGATTTTTTTTTATTTTCATAATAAAAAAAGAAAACAATGCCGTATTTACGACTATAATCAAATAACCAAAGTGCTACATAAAAGTAAAGGCTGCGGAAGACTAGGGTTTGAGTACGAACATAAGGAGCTTATAAAGTTTTGAGTGTTTCATATAAATCAGAAGCATTCATGGTTGGATGTGAAAAAAGGGAAATTTTATTAGCTTTAACATTGTCTTAACAATTTCTGTATAACCATGCGTATTCGTTTCCGAGGCAGCTGTGAGACATATATTCTTATCTCTTTGTTATCAAAGCGACCAAGAGGCTTGAAAATATGTTTTATTTATAGCGTTTTTGGACAGTGGAAACTCACAACATGGGGGTTCTATTTAACTTTAAAATACACTCTATTTTCATAATAATTTCTAACAACGATATTCTTAAGACAATTTTTCGTTTAAAATCAGCATACTGGAGGTTGAAATTGGTCGTAATTTCTTCGAAAAAAGAATGGTACATCATGCCGCTTTTATTATTTTTGCTCAACAGAGATTAATCAGACATATATTTCTTTATTGATTGCGTGAAAACACAGCAAAAATCCGTGTCTATATTATTCTCTACGAATTATATATTTTTAAATTACAATTTATCTTTAAATTTTTGTACTTTAAAATACTCCAACATCGTATGAACATAATAGAGTTTGAAATAATATCGATGGAAAGCAACAAAAGCATGTACACAAAACATATAGAGCTCAATCAAACTTAAATAAAATACAATAAAACATCCGACGTAATCTGCATATCTGAAACACAAAGATAATGAAAGAATTTCTTATTTCATTGCTAATGCTAGTAAAGTCATAAATATTACGCAAATTGACAACAATTTTGACAGTTTTAATGATAGCCATCAGATCATTAAAACTGTCAAAATTATTGTCAATTGTTTTCTGGAATAACATGAATACATATTATTCATTGTTAATTAATAATTCTAATACAACAAATAAATAGAACAATTTTAATTTAAAAAACAAAGGAACAGAAGACAAAAGAAAACATAAATGACATATGAAAATGTTCTATATTAAATATTAAATTATGAAACAAGAGAAATAGGTGTTCCAATTAAAGATTTCTTGGAAAACATCTCTTGGAACGGTAAATAAACATGTAGAAGTAAAAAGTGTACAAATCAATTTACGCTTCATCGAGTATTTCCACTTCCACTTCTAAAACACGAAACATATTGACATCTCAGTTAAGAAAAGGAAAGAGAATACAATATGTTCCTGTAAAAATAACATGAAATTTATGTAATAGACTTCTGTTCCCTTGGTAAAGAAATAACACATCAAACAAAATCAATACACCTATGTACATACTTGGTCTCATCTATGTAGACTGCTTCGAGAACTTTGGCGGCGTATTGAAGGTTCTTTTGTAGTGTTTCCGCGGGTATTTCACCTCTATTTAATTGTCTGAGTAAATAGCGTAATCTGTGGACAAGAAATACATTATGTAAATATATAAAAGTAAATAGCAGGATAATTAAGACGTAGTTTATAGAACTAATGTATTTATTTAATTTAATAATTTGCCATATCATCATCATCAGCTCACCATATGTCCCCACTGACGGGCTTGGAGCCTACCCTGAGTGAGGGGTGACCAGGCAATAGTCTAGTACTACTAGTACTATATGTGTACTGTATTAGTCGGTGAATATCATGTAAAAAAATACATTTAATAGATAGATTTTAACATTATATAATCGGCGAATACTTGATTAATTACGACGATTTTATTTGAACGTATAATTAATAATAAAAAATATATTTATTGAAAATAATTGGATGAGAAATAAATAAAGTAAGAAATAAAATTAATTGTCAAAATATCTTTATAAAGCTATATTGAAATATATCTACGAAAGCTAATTTATATGCCTGACGAATAAATACGACGAGTAATAACGATACAAAGAGAGTTTATAATTAATTTCATTGATATTATTGAGCTCATTTCAATTAAACTCCAATCATTTAAAATTGGAAGCGTTTTATTTTTAAACTCTCTTTTAGTTATCACGTAAAAAGGTGTAAATGTTTTGGCTTATGCGGTTGAAATAATTTCAGAATTTCCTGAATAATTTCAGTCTTAGCATCAGTCTAATACATACTGTTAGGAAGAAAATCCGACACTGTGCCGGTGTATCGGCGCAACACAAGCCTTATTAAAATAACAAGGTTTATGTCTCCTCACTAATCAATTTGATACTTAACTTGGCAACGAAAGCGCGCCATTCGCGCCAAAGGATTCTAACTAATAATGTCTAAAAATGCTAACAAGCCGTCTCGATAATTTTATTCATATATTTAACTCTAAAATAACAAACCTTGAATCTGAACTTTGGAAGTTATTCTTAACATAGTGGAAATATGAATCTACATTCGTAAATACTCGACTTTTACAAAAGGTTATAAATAGGTACTATAGAAGTTCGTTTACGCTCACGCTACGCTGAACAACATATTTTACTTTGAGTCGTAACTGAAATAACAGTCATACAAGCGTATAATTTATAAAACGCACTCAAATTGAAACGAACTGCTCTGGATTACGCCCCAGTTAGCAATAATTACAATATGTTTGTCAATTTGTACAAAAATATTTTAGCAACGAAATTGTATACACGCAGGCTTATTAGTAGACTGTTTTTTTTACTTATTAGCCGTTGTTCGTGAATAAGTTCGTCAATTACTAGACATTTTTTATGTACTCTTTCCACTTTATTCCGTTACTTGGTAGTTTTGCCAATTCAAAATAACACCAAATAAATCAAAGTATAGTAACATTCGAACTTATAAACTTATACGCATGTAAGACTATTATTTTATGAAAATATAATAAGAGAAAATAAGTACTTGTTAAGATTCATGTCGTAGCATAAAATTGAAGACAATTGTAATATTGTATGTTCTTCAAAATATTGTAGTAATACAGATAAAAGCAGTGCTACGGCGTTGGCTACGATCATTGCTACGGACGTAGCGCACTATGTCAAATCTCTTAAGTCTACTCTGTTGCTACAAAATGTAACGCGCTACGAATTGCTTCTTTATATCTTTACATACATAAAGAAATTAAACTAATGTTTTCTTTCATACTATTTAGCTATGTCAATTTCATTTCATTGGTGAATACAAGTCATCGTTTTTAGTTAAATGGTAACCTTTATTATCACTGCTCAATTTCGCAATGAACATTTTATGTAAAAACACTCTTATATTTGACTACAAGTGCCAAAGCTCTAAGTGAAACGCTTGCAAAGTTAAGCTTAATTAAATTAACCTGAAGACATCAAATAAAACGGACCTCTGTCGTAGCACAATGAACATAAACTTGTTCCAATAAAATCTTAAACGCGATTCAAAGAATGAACAAAGAAAAATAAGATACACGACTCCATTCCACTGGAATAGCGATCGATACTTCCCCGTACACATGATTACTATCATATCGTGTTACACTGTATGAGGCCTTTGTGTGTATGTTGTATACACTTATATTTATTGCCTATTAATACAAAGAGTTGCCGACACTATACAATAACTAAAATAACTATTATAGAATAATTTTACTATCATTGGCTAATA